GAGAAGCTGAGAGGCCTCAGAAGCAAAATGTAAACAATGATTATCTGCTGCTGTGGAATGCAACAGGTGGATCTGCGATTGGTCTGATGTAGTTGTTTCTAATTAATGGCCAATCACAGTCCAGCTGTCCAGACTGTCTCAGTCATTCACAAGCCTTTGTTATCATTCCTTTTCTATTCTTAGCTAGCCTTCTGATGAAATCCTTCCTTCTATTCTTTTAGTATAGTTTTAATATAAAATATATCATAAAATAATAAATTAAGACTTCTGAAACACGAAGTCAACATTCTCATCTCTTCCCTCTTCCTGGGAGCCCTGTGAACACCACCACCCTGTCTAAAGCAGATGTAAGCTTGGTCTTCAGGCTGATACTCCAGTTGTAAATTTACAGAGGTGGTAACACCGTGGGACTCTGAGATTTGACTGGAACTTCTGGGCTTGTCTGTAAAATAAATATTTTTTGTGTGTAAGTGATGAGAAGTGTGCCATGGTGAAAACATGTCCATGGAAGGCTTAGGCTCTCTGAGGTCTTTCAGCTTTAAAGATCAGCTGCTGAAAACATAAAGCAAACAAATCCTCCATGTAAAAAGTCATTCTATCATTTTTGACAGTTTAGAGAACTCCTCTCTTTCCCCTTGCTCCATATTTCCATCTGTTTCTCCTGCAGAAGAAGCAGATGTAGAAATCTGAAGTGCAGTTGTATGTGAAAGCCTTTGCTTATTCTCTTTGCTCTGTGCCTCACTAATCAGCCTTGTGTTCACAGCTGCCCTCCCTTTGGAGTGCAGAAAGGTGCTCTGACCTAAACCTTCCCTCCTTGCACCTTCTGTGGCACAAGGAAACTGTGTCCTCTAACTCCCACTAAGGCCAGGTGCCCGGCCAATGGCTTTTGACTGCGTGCCCATACAGATTTCCTTGGCTTTTGTAATTTGTGCTTCTGGTTTTAGCTTTTAAATCCATCATCAGGGCTGGCATGGACATCCTGGCTTACCCATAACTACTCAAGCTCTGTGCCAGGAGTATCACTTTTGTAACGCACCTTGAGATGTGCGCTACAAAAGAGCTGTATATATCCCATTGGAGTAATCTGATGCAATAATCTGAAGGCAGAATTTACTGTCTGAAACATGTGGACATGTGGTCTCTTGTTACATCATGCTTTGCAACCAGTTAGAGCCTACAGATTTATTCCTGCATTTTTTGTGTTAAACTGTTTCTGTTGCAGGAACAGAAAAGGAAAGAAAATACTACACGCATGGTTTGTACCTTCAGGGATATTCACATGACATCTGTTCCTCCTTCTTTTTGGAAGGCATCCTGGGAATAACACCAGGAATTAAATTAACTCGGGTCTGTTAGCTCATTTTGAAATGTGGGAGAGGCTAGTCCTGCCTGAAAGAAACAATCTCCTTCCTCTCGCCTTCCCCTTGCCTTCCCCCAAGAGAAGAATAGGATCAGGCCATAGAGGTATATCAGAGGTCTTTTCAAGTGTAAAGACCTTATCTCCAGAGAATTGAGCTCCTTTCCTCTTTGCAGATGCCTCCCTGTGATGACCACACCGGCCTCCTTGTCCACGATGAGATGGCAAGCTCTCCAGTCCTCTTGGGCTGAAAAAGCTGGTCTTTGCCCTCCAGGGCCTGGCAGCCGGGCATGAAAAAGGCAAACATTGTATCTTTAAACAAATGCTGTAATTTAAGAGAATAAACCTGCCAATGTCTGGAAATGGATCAGTTCAGCAGTAGTAAGTATTAGATAGGTATAGAGATATGTCAACAGTATGCCTCATAGTAAGTACTAGAAAATTGCAAACAAAAAGTTAATATTTTTATCTGAGGGCCCCAAATAGACTCTTTTTCATGAAGTTGCCTTAGGCCTGAGCTGTCTTTTGGTAGAGATTAGCAGCAGGCCATTTGGGGAACTGCCACGGCTTGGGAGGAAATCCAGCAGCTCACTGATCAAGCTGCAACCACCATCTGCACAGTTGTGCAGAAACCAGCAGATGGCACAAAACCTTAAATTGCTTCTTAGGCCAGCAGATCACTGTGGTAAAATCCCACTGAAGGAGAGATTTTAGCCAGGTCTGCATTTACCCTGTTCTACCAAGGCAGCAAGATATGGAAGGGTTTGGAAGAGAGGCTGGAACTTAATTTTTCTTACAGGCTCTTGTCAAGGCTCTGAGAAAACCATTCCCTCCAGGCTGACTGCCCATCATGGCAGAGAAGCTGAGGCTTCTTGACTTCTCTTGTTTTGAGCAGCCCCCCTGTTTCACTTAAAAATAGAGTGAAAAGTGTGTGCCTTTTTCTGAGATGTGTTGTGTGCACAGGCGCATGTGAGGCCCTGCTCTGCCAATTGTCAGTCAACACATTCAGCAAGAATTACACTATCATTTTTCAGAAGGGAAACGTGTATCTCAGTTCCTGTCATTAAAACTGTGAGGTATTTGAATATTGACTTGAAAGTCCTAATGCAGTGATTTATGATGCCTTTTTAACCTAATTATATAACACACCCACAAATCTTACCCTTGAACCATAGAAGAACAAACTTCAAACAATTTCCTCTTCACCTTTATTGCACCACTCACTTCCTTGGAAAAGGTCCACATTTCTGAGCAGAAGTCACAGAAACTGAAAACCTCTGTGTCCGCAGCCTTGACGTGGTGTCCCACTGCGGGGAAGCCTTATTTCTCCTGTGTCCTGTCCCAACGAAGGAGTGGAGCAGACTACCACTGCCCTCCCAGCCCCTGGAAAACCTGGGACTGGGATGTGTGTTCTCAGTAATGCAGGCACTGCCATGTGACACCCCTGAAAAAAAGCCTGTCATCAGCAGCACAAATTAGATGGAAAACGGGAGGATGAAGTTCCCACAGGTCATGGGGCAATAACCACTGCAAAAGCTGTCAGGGGCAACTCAGAATGCACCGGCTGTTCTCCAGTGCCTTGGCAAAAACCCCACAATTTGATCAGCTGCTGGACAGCAGGGAACTTAGCGCCTGATGCAGGAGCATGTTCAGAGCTCTCATCCTGTGGCATCGGCTGCTGAGCTAGCAGCACAAATTACTAAATCTGAGATTGCAGTGCAATTGCAGCAATTCCCAGAGCAGTTTACCCAATGCTTATTCCAATAATAAGGCAAAAGGAGGATCTGCTAGGTGCAGGAAATCTGAAACTGCTGGTGATGTATTTCACAGGATAGGGAAGAAGATAAGATTAATCATCTCATTTGCATACCTGTTTTGCTACGTGTCATTAAAACTACCATTAAAAGCTATCCTTGTGCTGAGTTCAGTACACTGAACAGTCAGGCCATCTCTTCTACTAAAAACCAGCCAGTTTTGGTGAGCAAGTCTGTAACAGGCTCTTGGGTATCTTCTTTGACAGCCAAACACATCTTTGTTTTATAAAATCTGTTTCGTGTTACATCAAATTCAACAAACCCAGGAATATGTTTCAATGCTTTGATTCTTCCTTTTTTTTCCCCCTATGCCCAGTACAAATGGCCATAATACTGCAGAAATGAAGGTAAATTTCATTTTGTTTTCTTCTTGCTCTAAACAGCAAGTAATGTAGTGACAGATGTTATGCTCACCAACCAAAATCTTGTGCTGTGATTAGCTATTATTAGCATGTGTCTAATCCCCAGGGGATTAAGTGGTTCATCTAAGCATGGCTTCAAGTGTCACCTATGTCTCACATGGACATAAACTAATCTCTTTTGTTGGAAACAGATGAACTGATAAGTGTTTGGAAGCCTCCTAATTTACAGAAAACACTGCAGTTTGCTCTCTGTCAAATCCCCGTGTCAGGGTGAAAGAGTGTATTTTATATTCAGTGTCAGTCCCTTTAAAACCTAACGGGCATCTAGCCCTGAGGTGCAGTTTAAGAAGTTACTTTTTATGCGACTCTTTAAGCGGCCAAGCAGTCCCAGTTGCCACGAGCTCATTCCTGTGTGGGCTTGCCCAGGCTGCCTCTGAGGACAGTGAACAGGATAGCTTCAGTCACTGCTCTACACGCAAAGTACCACTGCCTCCCTCTGAAGTGCACATGGAAGCTGCACAGAGGCCAAATCAAAGTTGCCCCTGGCAGCAAGCAAGGACAGCTTTTTCCAGCAATGGGCAGCCCTAGACAAGCTGCCTGGAAAGCAACAGAATTCACATAAGCTACAGGGCAAAGTTGTGCACTTCTGCTCAAGAAGTCCTGGGCAAGAGGCAGTAAGTGGTCACTGGAGCAAGCCCAGAACATCCAGCAGGCTTTGGTCTCACTCTAGAAGTCCAGGCTGTTGGATCAGAATCAAAAGCTTCAGGACTTCCTGGGCTGACTCCATAGGAATTATAGAGTTGTCCCTAGTGGTTATACCCAAGGCTCCCCAGAATTTAGCACCCAGTGTGAGGAATAGCTGCTAGTACCATCAACTCCTACTTGAATGTCTGAAGTCTTAGACCTCCTAGGTGAGCCTGGGAGAAAGAGTTCAGGAGCAACCTTTGCAGTTAAAGAAGTTATGTGGGCACTTGAGAATGGTAGGCATGGTTTGCTGTCAAAAGTACTCTTCTAGTGATCTCTGCCGCCTTGTCTTTTTCTGATGTATTGTATTCCCATGAGAGGCTACTAGAAGGAACATTTTGGGAAGGAGAGAGCTGTAGTATTTCTGTAACTGGAAATGTTGACAAAATTAGCTAGGAAGAATTTACCTAAAAATGTTTCACTGCACAGGAGAACTGAGGAGTCTCAAGATTCTATATGAACATGAAGGCTAAACTGTATTTTTGCACTTTTTTGTCCCCTCCCCCATATAGGTAATGCATAATGTCTTCCTACTCTTGAAAGGATCACCTTAATTTGATGATGCAGGTATGAGAAAAGCTAATTATGTACCTGCTCCATGCAAGCTGTTAAAACACGTGCCTATGCAGATGCATGTGTGTAGGCCAAGTGTTTCTCTAATTAATGCTCTGTTCTTATTCTCCTAATGTGTTAGAGGCAGAAAGACTTCAATGAGACAAAGCCGTGGCACAATCAAATCATCAGATTTATTAGCTTTCTGGGCAGCTTTTCCCATTATGTAAAAGCTGTGTTTGTATTAGTATAGCAGTCAGACCCACCAGTGTGAGGATTACAGTTGGTTTTTACATAATGGATTATCCAAGATTAAGTGTTTTATTCAGGCACACGAGCAAAAATAACCAATTAGTGACTTTGTAGATTCCTTATTTAAAGGGAGCTGGAGGGCAATTGACACAAAACCCTCCTGCTACCTGCAGTCCAAAGACTGAAGGAGAGTAGTCTCAAGGATCTCCAACATCTCCACTCAGCAGGTAGGTCTCTCTTCAGCAGAGGTGGATGAGACTGGCATATCTTGCAGCAGGGAAATGCAGCTTGCATGGCAGCAGCTAGGAACAGCCTAGTGTTGCTGCATGGGTGTTTGGGCTCTGGGTCGGGAGCTCAGCTTGAATGGTGCTGACAAGTGTTAGATAACTGTTTTATCTTGGCATTAGGACAGGTATTCAGTGTCAAATACTCTGCAAGAATGTGTAATGAAGGTTCTCTCTTCCTGAAGTCTGAGAAACAAATATGCTGGCATATGGATGAGGTGGGATACCCCAGGAGAAAAACAGCCATGATCACCTAGTGGTTGTGGTGCAATGACAGATCAAGCCTCTAGAAAATTAATATTATTTGTCATGTTTATTGAAGGAATGGTCAGAGGGCAGCCAGTACCAAGGTGTGTTATGCCATTAGAGTAGGCACCCAGGAGAGGCCTGTTTTGGTGAGCAGAACTGGAGATAAAGAACATGGCTTTGCTGGCTTGAAAGCAAAGTGGACACTCACTGTGAAATAATTAGAAACAACATCTTTACAATGTACAGTGCTTTACCAGAGCTCATCAGAACATTTTTCTTGCTGCAAAAACAAAATTCAAAACATTTCAATTTTTTACCAAATCTTACTGACCTTATCCATAGTCTGGCTTGATTTATAATGCAAAAATACAATGAATTGCATTACTACTTCTGGCAAGCAAAATACTTCCCCAAAGTAATTGCCATCAATGTTCGCTTTTGGCTGAATTTAGGCACCACAATTACTCGGTATCAATGGAAGAGCTGGTTGTCAGTATCAATGGATAGTAGTATGGAAAAAAACTAGTCTTAAATGGCGGAATGCATCTGTAGCATTTCTGTATCTACCTCCATCTACTGCATGAAATAAACCCCCATGTTTGCTTTTGTCTTGCAGAATGAAATACGCACAGTATGTTTTCCTGGTCTCGGTCTTCTACACTGTTGAATATAGCCTAGCTCAGACCTGTGCAGTGGATTCTTTCTCTGTGAAAGACAATTTTGATCCAAAAAGGGTAATTATGGTTACTTCATAGTACATGTGAAGAAGCTTTACATATACACTGCTTTTCCAGATTATGATCTTTGTTCATCTAAAGGGGTTCTTCACCAAAAAGCTAACTTCTTTCATATTCCGTGTTGCCGATGCTGTTCCTGTAGTTATCTCGGTACTGTTTAACCTTCTGAACACTACAGTAAAACTGGCCTTGAAAGCCAGGGATGTTACTAGAGCTCATATTCTGTTAGCTTGGCACAATTTTGAGCTTCAGGCAGTTCCATGAAAGGAACAATTTAGATCTACATCAGAGAGGAAGATCGAGCACAAGCCCTAGGGTACTTGCACCCATCACTAGTCATTCTTGGGAGTCACAGCAAATGGAAATCTTTAAACACATCATTTGTGCTTCTGAGGAGAAAATGAGGGCTAATCTGCTGTTGGAAAAGTCCAGACATGTGTCAGTACCTATGCTAATTAATGGTCAGCAAACACCACAGCTGTAGGGGCATCTGGGATGTGGCAAGCCCTTTGTCTATACAAGATTGGCTTTGCTTTGGTAACAAATCATGTCCAGGGAGAGCTTTGGGAATATCCCAGTTTAAAAAGTCAAAGTTTTTGCTCGGGCTCCTGTATTGGGAATCACGGCCTTGCAGGCTTAAGCACATAACTTGCCTAACAGATGTCATTAGCTTCACTGCAGAATCAATTTTAACACCTAGCCAGCTCCTGCTCTTCTCAGGATTTCTACTGATAATGTTAACTTTTAAGGGTCTCCCTCTCTGTCAGTCACCTGTTAAGATCTTGTTTTCTTTTAACTAGATACTTCTTATACATTTTCAGGACCCATTTTTTGCATGAACATATTCTTTCTCTTAATCTCAGTCCATTTGTCTCTGCCATTACTCTCCCCAAAACACCCTCTCCATGTTCTGAGCATATAGTCATCATTTTCTGCTTTGCTGGGTAGGCCCTTTTCCCCATCAGAGATCAACTGTGGCCCGTGGCAGCCACAAAGATTGTCTCTTGCCAGCTTGCTACAGTCCTTGTACCAGCAATTTGATATTGTTGAACTTGGTATGGTATTCCATGGAAGAGAAGGGGCTTGAACAGGGAAGAACCAGTCTGACTCTCAGAAGATGTGTTTGGATGGGAGATGCTTTTGGTGTGGGGTCACTGTGACAGGAATGTCTCACTTCACAAGGACTACACACACAGCAGTGCAGAGCTGCCAGACCCACTTCTTCTGGCACAGAGGCAAGGGTTCATCAGGCAGCACGGCAGCATCTGTGTGCTACATTCCCTCCCGACTCAGACTGGCTTTTATCATGCAGTGGGGAGTTAGAAAGGCACTTTGATTCACAAAATTGTTTTTGTGCTTATCTTGCCATGGTGGCTATTGCAGATATTAATGCACTTTCATGACAGTATGCAGGGAAATGGTATGCCCTGGCCAAGAAGGATCCAGAAGGCCTTTTCCTTCAGGACAACATCTCTGCTGAATACACTGTGGAGGAAGACGGCACAATGACAGCGTCCTCCAAAGGCCGAGTGAAGCTTTTTGGGTGAGCTCTCTTGACTTTTAACTCTAGCTGCTGGCATGAGGCACTGGATGAGGGGGACATGGATGATGATCAACCCTGAGCACACAACATGGCTGAGTTTTCATCATCAAAATGGGAAGTTTAGCTAAAGTATCAGATTAGAAGATAGAGGTTAGACACTTTTGAGATTGTTCACAGCCTGGCTCAGGTTTGGGTCTGCCACAAAACTACTGCATAAAGTTAGTAATTAAGTCAAATCTTGATTGATGGAATGGTTAGATAAATTAATTGCAATCAAGCAAAGGAGCTAATGAAGGCTGTCAAGATGCAAGATTTCTGAGAAAAACTTGTGGTTAACTCTTAGATGTAATTGCAATGCCCGAATGGACAGATGGCAGGAAGCTTAGAGTTTTGCCTGTTGGTCATGATTACTACAAGGAATTACGACATGTAAAGAGATTAAATAGCTTTCTGAGTGCAAAAGAGAAAATCTGTGGCTTCCAATATGCTAGCACTAGCAGGTGGCTATGAACCTTGTACATCTTAACAGTGCAGTGCTCCAAGATATTTTGGGAATGGGCAAATGAGGTTTTGCAGGCATGCCATACTGTGCAAGGGGGAAGATGCATGAAAGGACTCTTCAAAAAACAAATGGGGTCTCAAGGCTGCTGCAAATTTTATTTCTGTAAAGGTAGGATAAGGGGAAGCCCAGCCTGAGCAAGGAAGGGAATGAAGACCCTTCCACTGTTTCACTAATCCAGGTAATGCTTGACAAAGAGTGTTGAAATGCGGATGGCATTCAAAGCAAAGAGATACCAAACAGAGAAGGGCATTGTAACAATGGTCACCCACAGGGTTCTCAAAGGCTCTGTGACAGCTTTTCACCAGCTTGGCAGAGGAGCTGTAACTATTACTGTGCTTGTAACAGACATTCCTGTGCCCATACTGCCAGGAAGGGATAGACAGGGAAGAGCCAAGTCCGTGCCTCTTCATGGGGCACATCTACTGAGCCCAAAAGATCCCAAATGCAGGTGAGCTCACACTGCAGACTGCTAGCAGGAAGCCAAGAAACAACGGTCATTATTGTGCTTGGTGTCTGTCTGCTTGTACAGAAATGGGTGGCAAAAATCTTACTGAACTGAAGGAGGGTAGGAGGGTACTGCCCCAGCCACAGCATAGCCTTACAGCAGGGGACCAGAGGGCAGCAGCAATCACTGGCTGTGATTGATGTGTGTTTGGGGGGTGTCACAGATTTGCATCACTTAATGACATTAATTAGTGACTTTGCATTTAGAAAGGCCATGCCCCATGCCTGAGGGACTTGTACCCAAGCCCTGAGAGGACACCCATTTGAAGTTCTCATGCTGCCAGGTTTTACCTTGAATGTTATGGATCTCGTTGCAGTTTCTGGGTGATCTGTGCTGACATGGCTGCTCAGTACACGGTACCTGACCCAACCACTCCAGCAAAAATGTATATGACCTACCAGGGACTGGCCAGCTACCTCTCCAGCGGTGGTGAGTTACATTCTCCAGCCGCCTGACACTTTTCAATTGCTGAGGATTTTGTCAATTACAGCTGTCCAGATGTGCATTTCCACATATAAGCAGGAAAAACAGTTCAGCTGGGATTGCTCTAAGCTCCTCTGAAACATCCTTTTAGGGGGAGCATGCTTTATCCAAGCAGTGCATTTTATCTCCACAGAACGGGCAGCATCCAGAGGCTCCCCACACATCCTTCTCATACACTGTATATGTTAACAAGGAGGCTTACAGGCTTTGGGCCACACACAATGGGTTCTGTACGGCCAATTGTGGAGCCATTCTTCCTGGGGCCCACTGTGGGCACTATGGAAGTGCTGAGGTCAGTTGCCCCTGTACTCCCCACAGCTAAACAGAGGAGACACGTAGATCCACAGCTGCACCCCAGCAACAGGACTCATTTCAGAGAGACACAGCTGGACTCAAAGAAATGGAGCTGTTAACTCAAGTGTACCTTTAGAAACCGCTCATGCTGAACCTTACGTGCCCTTTAAAGCCCAACCTTCATGCCCAAGCCTCCCACAGCTGCAGTTCCTCAGCTGTGGAAGTTGGGGAGGACTTCTAAGGTGTAAGAAAGAAGTACATTCCCTTAGTATTGGCAGATAAGCCACACCAAAAAGAACTAAGTAGAGAAAGGCTAGGAAACAGGAGGAATGTTTTACTTAGGCCTCCTGTATATGAAATGTATGTCCTTCCTTCCACCATGCTTGATCAAGCAACATAAAGAGGTATTTTTTCATTGGAAACCTAGAAAATCCTAGTCCTCCTAATACCTCTAGCCTAAGAAACAAAAGGTGAAAATGCACTGAGCATCGTGGGGAAAATCATGGTCTCAAGATGCCCTGTGCTTGTCCCAGTTCTTTCCCTCATGGTGTGGAGATAAGCTGGATGTGTGACGTGATTAGAGATCCTTTGGAAAGCTATCCCTAACAGAGTTTGCCACCTCCCTGCTGAAGGATCCACCTCTGCTCTGTTGTGCCCACTGTGACAAAGCTGTGTGTTGTTGTTTCAGGGGACAACTACTGGGTGATTGACACTGACTATGATAACTATGCCATCACCTATGCCTGCCGCAGCCTGAAGGAGGACGGCTCCTGTGACGATGGCTACTCCCTGATCTTCTCGCGCAACCCCCGTGGCCTCCCCCCAGCCATCCAGCGCATTGTGCGCCAAAAGCAGGAGGAAATCTGCATGTCTGGCCAGTTCCAGCCTGTGCTCCAGTCAGGTACTTCAGCCTAATTAGCAAACTCACTGAGTTGCACAGTAGGTGATTGCATTTGCTGTTAATGTGACAGAACTACAGCAAACACAGCTGTTCTTTTTTAGTAACCCTTTCCTCATGTTAGATCTAGTAGGAAAAGAGCTACAAAGGGAAATCCATAAAAGAACAAGAGCCTGCTACAGGCTAGTTCTGCAGCCTTAAGATTGCAACTTACCAGAATCCTGTGTGTTGAACCTGGTACACTACCAGATGAAGGTCAGCCTTGTTACTGTAGTAGACAGTACAGGGATGGATGCAACAAGCTGGGGTTTCTGCACCTGGAAATCCTTGTCCTGGCCACTTGCATAATAGCGTCTTACCATGGGTCCATGCAGTGTCTTCCAGGAAAAGATGAAAAGGTGCCTCCAGGAAGGACCATTCTCACCCTCAGTTCCATCATGACCTGTGCCCTGTGTGGTCTGAGTAGCAGGGATGAGGGGCTCTGAGCAGCATTTCTGACTGCGTCAGCTGGCAGTGGGAGTCAGCAGCTGCTCCACATACACGTAAACAGACCATGTTTAAAGCCCATTTTGGCAACATTTTTCTGGAGGTACAGGAATTGATCTTCTAGTTCAAATGCTGCCCATGAAATAGGCGGACACATTTTTAGGGTTCTGCAGAAGGCAGAAATTCTTCTTTGCTGGCAGTTGAGCACTCACACTCTTCACAACCTCACCTACTTGGTCAGGAAGTTGACCCCTTACCAAGCCACATAGCACATGTGCTCTGCACTGTGGCACAAGGAATGGCAGCTAAAACCTCCTGAACAGCACTGCATTGTTGTGTCAGCCAATCCTCCACTACAGAGCAGGTACTGGCATCACCCAAGGCTATGGCCTGGGCATCCCTGCCCCACAGCGCTCTGTACTGCTCCCTGTAGCAGAGCGAAGGCAGCTGGTTTGCAGGGTCATGGATTGGTCCTCAGGAAAGCCAAAAGCCCATGGCTAGCTAGGAAAGGCTGCCTGTGTCTGTGCCAATAGACAGAGAGAAATGCAAACTTTTGCACCCTGCCTCCTAGTCTTGTACTGTGATTCAGAAGTACCCCAGGAGGGTTGTAGTTACAGTTTCAGTGGAGATTTAATGGCTATTAAAGCCCTTTGCAAATTTACTTACACAGACTAAAGTTTACTTTTCTTTCTTTCCAGGGGCCTGCTAAAAGTATGCTTCTGATCCTCTCCTTAAGCACAGAAACCAGACCTCTTGGTCTTGAAGTTGCCACTCAACTAATAATTTTAAAAAATCATAGTATGGAATAGTGTGTTTTTCCTGAAAAACACATGAAAATATTGGGGGATCTTTAAACAGTGTGCAATATAATAGTGATATTTGAATTTTCAAGGGAATACCTAATGTGGCATTTGTCAATAAATGTTTTGGAAAAAAAGGCACGTCTGAAACTGGTTTTTATTGCCTGTTGTCCTGTCTGTTGGGGAGCAGAAGCACTGAGGATGCTCACTGAGGAGCAGTGAGACAGCAACAAGGGTGCTCCCAGCACAGGTGGGGCAGTGTCACTCCCCAGCTCTGAACAGGGCGGGCAAGGCAAGGATGGTGAGAGGGGCACGTCCCCTGACAGGGCTGATTGTCGGACACCAGCATGGTGACAGGGTAAACTCTAGGATTCACCTAGAAAGTCCAGCCAGTGAGGACAGCAAGGCACAGGGCAGTATGCAGGCACATCACTGAGACAGCTCCAGCCAAAAACAGGACTTAAGAGCACATCTGAGGCAGAGCTACCTGCAGCAAAGTTCCCAAGGGGAGATCCACAAATGCACTAAAACAGATGCTACTTTCAATGACAGTGGACAATGCTTTAAATGAGCAGATGCTTGCATTTCTAATGGCATTAACAGTAATTTGCTCCTCTCTGCCCTGATTATCCAGTTTTCAGTATCTGAAAGGTATAGAACTGAAAGATATACGATGGACTGGGTTTATGGCAAAGAATTTCACAGATAGAGAAAGCCAAAGAAGAGTACCTGGAAATCTCCACGTAGAAAAAGGGTAACCTGAGTCAGTGTTATTGACATGCATTTTCCACTGCTTTTAGTAAAACCACATTCACCTTGTGTTTCCTAATAATAAAAATCCAGTCTAGAACACCCCAGTATCCTGCTGAACCCTGCAGTTTATCAACTACACAAATTTTTACAAGTTATAATTACCAAGCACGGAGGTAAGACCAAGCTGAACAGCCCCTGCCCCTGAGGCTTCAAAAAGGTGTGTGGAACAAGGCTGATATTGACTGAAGACTCTCAGAGCACTACAGTGTTAAACAGCTGCAAGATGCTTGCACAATCTTATCCACAGATTTGTGGATAAGAAATCTTATTATGAGATGAGTATGAGAAAGAGTATGGAAAGCAGAGACACTCTCCAGGACTACAGACATTATCCCAGGGATGCAGTGAAGTCTCTCAAACTTGTATTTCCCAGGATTTCCTGGCAATACTTGTAAGGCTCTCAACCCGCTTGAACAAACATGTCCTTGCTCCTCAGGTCTAGGGAAAGTTACCCTGACAGAGAACAAGATTGGGAGCTACCACCTAAAGCTAAGGACAGAAACAGAAGAGCACTAGCAGGCAATGCTAACAAAACCCCATACAGACAGAGAACTACTCAGTGTTGAAAAAATATCAGCCTTTTCTGCTGGACTAAGTGCAAGGTCAGTGCATTGATTGAATGTTCTCCACTTCCACCTTTCTCCCAGCAGGAAGTATTGGGGTGGAATCTGTGACCTTAGGACTTGTATAACAACTGATTAGACAGCACTAACCCTTAGCTGAAGAAGCATGGCCTTTGGCCAAAACTGTCAGACCAACACTACCAGTCTTAGAGAAATGGGATTTTTTAATGTCTATGGTTATACTAATTGTATGACCAGAGCAGATGAGAGTTGTAGCAACAAGATACAAACAATATGCAGGACGCAGTGCATCTGCTTGGTGTAGTCTGTCCAGACAAGATAGGTAGTGCAATTCCTCTTTAGCCACACGAGGCAAAGCCTGCAGGATCATAGAAATATAGAGGTGATTCTGGTTGAATACACCATGGTTGAGTTCACGCGCCCCAATAATTGTACCTGTGGGGGAGTATGTCTCCATCAGGACCACCAGCAAGTCCTCGATGTATGATGTGGTAAGTTAATGAAGAGATGGGAGCTACATCATATCCATTTGTCTCTAATGACTGCAGGAAATGTGAAAGACAAGGTAGGATAGGCAGGCAGTCATGTGTATGCTGATGAGACTTACACTACTCTTGAAATTCTGTTGAGTTCAACATGAAACACCTCAGGTACATATACAGGGAGACATCTGTCTTCTGTTTGAGCTGGTTGATGAAAAGCAGTCTATTATTCCTGGGTTTTAAGTGCGTGTATAGGTCCCAAGTCATAATCTCTATCCTGCACAAACTTTCCACTAACAAGACAAAATAAAAAAATTGTTTATACATTAAAAGGACTGTTGTTTTGTCCTCAGAAGGTCCTTTAGTGCTGGCAGAAAGACTATGACTGCGCAACAGCAGGAGGGACTCTGCAAGGATATTGTCCTTCAAACACCAGTGAACCTCCTCCAGCAAGGACACTGTGAATCCTGAGATCAGAGACTACAATACCATCTTGAGTTAGACTAGTTTTCCCTGGGCTGTGGTAACTGAGACAATCTATGCATTTAGGTTTCTACTTCAGCCTCGACATTTTTTATGTTTCAGTTACATGTAATGCTGGAATTTCCCCAAGTCAAGCTATTTTACCCCTTGTGCTGGCAGTCACAGTGAGCAGCTGCATGGTACTTGGTCGCTGGCTGGAGTTCAAATATGACAGTCCTTGAGAATAGTCTTTACTTTAAAGATTAAGTTGAAAGTAGAGTTGTAAGCAGTTTCTACAACACAATGATCACATCTTGTTTTTACATGGTTCATGTGAAAGATTAATAACCAGTTTTATTTGCTCTCACAAAAGATGGTAACAAATGTAGCATATACACAATTAGACAATGTAAAATACTTAGCTGAAAGGTTCTTTCAGTTGCAAAATGGTTATATAGCCTCACAAGCTTTTGTTTCAAGCACAGGCAAATAATTCCATGTTGCAGTTACATATTCTTATTTGGATTAATGAACAGCAAAAGACATATATGAGCGCTCTGCAGCCTTGCTTTGGTTATGATACTACAGAACTACTAAGCACCTGCTATTCACACCTGGTGCTATGGATACTTGGCACTTCTGAAAACTCAAACAGTAATGGGGGGCTGATCACTACATGTAACAGAGGAGATTAGTTAAACATGCAATTTTGGAAACACTATCAGAGTCAGCAACAGATGGTTACAGAAATCTTAAGTTTCAAGTACTAAATAGCGTTTTTCTGTAGACATTAAATGATGAAAAAAGAAAACGCCATTTCAAAAACTTTTATAATTTGTTAGAAATAAACTCATACCTGGAAATACCAACTTCTCTTCTCTCTCTAATTAATGCTCATTTCTTAAAGGAATGAGTTTATATCATAGCAGCAAAGAAGATTTTCAGAAGAAATCTTCTATTTTTCATGGTTTGCACATCTATATATTTTCATCCCTGCATAACAAAATCAATACTATTCACTACAGCTATGTTTCTTTTTTTTTTTTTTCTTTTTTTTTTCTTTTTTTTTTTTAATACACCTGTAACTAGTACATAGTCCTTGGTTTGATAAAAGACTGCTATATTCTGATTGCCAGGGTGGGAAAATTTTAAAGCAGAAGGGCTACTCAGGTAGGACATCTTAACACACTAAACTGTCCACTCAAGCTCCTACATCTTCCCCTGCTCCAGACACACTAAAATCTCTCAAGACCCTATACTTAGTATTTCTCTAAATAATTTTATTTGTTGTTCCACCTCATGCTAGCAAAACAACATGTGTTAACCGCTGGATTTTACTTAACTCTGTATAATGGTTCTTCACTCAGGGGCAATTATCACAAGTTTAAAATGTATTTTTACTATCTCTATGCAAGTAGAATGTCTCAATAACTTTTCTTAAATTTAGAGGATGCAATTCAGTAGGATCCATGGCCGTTTCCTGTTCTGCCTGTACGGACAAGGAATTGGAGGACTAGGATGCGATAAGTGCCCCTTATTAAAACTCAAATGAGGCAAGAAATATTTCATCGGAATTCTGTGACAGAATAAGTCTTTTAAAGCTAATTTTCAGTAAAAGCACTTGAACAAATAATCAGCAAGTAAGGAGATACAAGGCCACTTTCACATGCACTGACTTTTTGCATGTTTCTTTTCTGTGCTGTAAGAGTTGAGGGTATTTGAGGTAGTTCAGCTCTCTCCTACTGCGCAAACTTGGGCACTTCTCTTTTTCTGAGACCTGACTGTTTCATCAAATATGCAGTTTTTGTTGTTATGTTGGTGAGGTGGCTGATGTCAGCAAAGAGAGCAGTAGGGGATTTGTTTGTGTGACAAAGGCACTCCTCTTATGGAAAACACTCCAGCTGTTTTCACTGGCATTATCCTTCTCTCTGCAAGCCTGTTAAAGGCACAGCTCAAACTGTGCCAGTTGTGAAAAGAGAAGAATAAAGCAGCACCCCTGCAATTTCAGGGAACTTTGCTGTTTACATAAAGTGTTTGGCACCTGCAAGCACAGCCAGTGGTGATCTGTAGCCCGTGATCTTGGGCTATCACACGCTCATGCACATGCGTTGCAAAGCACAGGAGCTCCAACTGTTCTTTGTTAATTTCCTAAGTGTCCTAAGTAGTAGCCCTGCTACATTCAAGAGTGTGCTGTCCTGTCATACGAAGACACAAAGGCTCTAACTAGTGTTTCAGCTTTCTCCTCGCTATGCAGAGCTGAGTGACCACTTACAGTCTGTGAGGGGAGGTGTTAGCTGTAAGGGCTGAAGGACACCAGGGTAGGTGACAGCAATGGAGAAAAAGAGGGACTTTTAGGCTTAGAGCCTCTACCACAAACGGGCAGCAGCTGGTGGCCAAAGTGCAAACGGGTGACTTGGACAAAAGCACAAAACAGAAAAGGCAGGAGGCTAGGGCTTTCTGTGCCTTCTCCCCTCTGAGAATGAGCTGATACCCCTGCCTCTGCCTACAGCAAACAGCTCTGGCACCCATGTAATGGTCAGAACTACAGAGAGAGCTGGGTGGAAACACCTTTGTGAGAGAGTGAAAAACCTCATACACCTGAAGACGTGGCAAGCATTCTGAAATAACCCACTGTGACTAACCAGCCAAAGGAACTAAGGGATCCTTTACTTCATGCTCTGAATGTGTCTTGTCACTGTGCACTTTTCCATCAAACCATTAAGTCAAGACTGGCTAGCAGCTCAGGCAGCCAGTTCACTCTCAGACAGGTCCTCCATGTGCCTTTGCTACCATCCTCACCCACACAGTGAAGCCAGGGTTCTGTTCCTGCTACAGTTTGTGACCTCTAAAAATCTTAGCTTGCCCTGGCTGTTAGCTCAGTGAAAAAGGGGGAATAATAAATACGTATTCCCATAATTCCTAGTTATCCAGGCTGAATCCCTGTCCTACGGTAGCCTCTTACCAGTTGCAGTTGTAGTTGTTTGATAATGCTGTCTTTTGTGCTGTGAAGAGTTAACAGGGGCAGTTGCTTCTAACTTGTGTTCCTAACTTCATCAGGTCGTTACCATACACCCTCCTCAGCCTGGGAGGAGTTTATTTTTCTGGGAAGTTGTCATTAGCAAGGAACATACACCACTCTGACACCAAGCCAGGCACCACTCTTCAGCGTCACTTGAAAGCTTCAATGTACCCCACGGGAAGAGAGGGCAGGCCTGCCTTCCCCCAGTAGTCAACGGCACGCACTCTGTAAAAGCCGGAGACTGAGCTTCCTGCAAATGAAAAGGTTAGAAATGGTCACTGGGAAACGCTGGCACCTGTGGGACTGGGAGGATGTGAAGCAGGCACTACTCCTGTAAAATGTAGGTTCGTGGAACAGGCTGGGGAAATCAGTTCTGCATCCTACGTAAGTGTGTCAGTGTCTGTCTGATTAAAAATGATAACAAATTCCTTGTGGCCAAGTACTGACTTTTTTATCTTGTTTCACCAAGGAA